AAAAAGGGGGAGTTTGCGCCAAAAGAAAATGTCCACACAGCTTGTTTTTGTGCAAAAACCCAAGTGTAAAAACAGATTGGCCGAAAATATGCAAATGGGATCACGCAAATGAGTCCCTTATTAGCATATTTTTTGCCAAGAAAACTCGTAGTATAGACGTAGCCTCAGTGTTTTGCCTGGTTGCTGTCTAAGCAGAGCCAGTTTTCTTGGCCCAGCCCTAAAGTAAACCCTGGATGCACAATTGACGAGCGCCCTGCACACCCACAGATATCCAGGGATGTGGATGTGGAGATCCGTGGCGCACTTTTGCAGTTACAGATGCAGATACAAAATGTTGTAGCTATGCAGGGCTCTAACGATGGCCCTCATTGATTTGTTTTGAAAGCACATTGGCATGTGGGATGCATCATCAAGGTGGACATGATGCAAGTGCAGGGCTACTCACTGCCTCAGGCTTTGGGCAGGATGCTTGCTCCCGTATCATAATAGAGATTCTTCTTTTTAAAAATAAGCCCAAGAAATCGTATCACAATCTGCATAAAAGCAATTAAACACGCAACACATCTGTGATACAGAAATAGGCTAATGAATGACCTGCTGATTCCTTGATTTCCCTGTTGTGGTTTTATTGCTTTATTGCAGCTTTTCTCTTTTATTTTTTTTGGTTTAAAGAATTACAGGTTTGCTCTTCGGCCCTTCAAGCAGATTGCTGCTGTGAGACAATCACTGGATAAAGGCAGGGAACAGGATCCAGGAGAGCTGGCTTGTAATTCTGACTGCACTGAGGGCTCAGTCTCCCTTCTTCAGATAACCCCTTCTGACCACACTTCCTCGGTTTCTGGGTTAGGATAGAAGATGTTCTAGAGAATGGAGGCCTAGCCTGGAGCTTGGGATAGTGAGGTTTGAATCTTGCTTTGCATAGACTTTCTGTGTGACTTTGGGTAAGTTAAGTATCAGAGGGGTAGCCGTGTTAGTCTGAATCTGCAAAAGCAGCGAGGAGTCCTGCGGCACCTTATAGACTAACTGAAGTGTTGGGTAAGTTAGTAAATCTATGACTCAGTTTTCCCATCTGTAAAATGGGACTAATATCATTTCCTTACCACACAGTAGTAGTGTCATGATGGTAAATATGTAATAGATTCCATGTTAACGATGGTCAGATAAGTATTCTAGTTAGCTAGTGAGAGCCTGATTTTAATGCACCCAAAGAGAGAAGGCTGGCTAGCACTGCCGGCAGAGTTTCTTGTAGGGGATATATCTGGGTAGTCTGAAGATGTTCTGTGTACAGGACACCACGGGACTGCTACTCTGTACTCTACCTTCTGCCAAGGCTTCCCTGCTGAAGAGCATGGTGCTTCAGGGGGTAGCTGAGTTAGTCTGTTACGGAAAAAAACAACAAATGGTCTAGTAGCTCTTTATAGACTAACGAAACATGTAGATGGTATCTGTGCCCACGAAAGCTCATGATCCCATCTACATATTTTGTTAGTCTATAAAGTGCTACCAGACCATTTGCTGTTTTTTTGCCAAAGAGCAGTTTGCCTTTTGCATGCCTTGGCCCAGACTGCACTAGCCCTACGTGGGGAATAATCCCACTGATGTCGATGGATCTACCTGTGGAATCGGGTAGAAGACAATGTGACTGCTAAGGGAATCTCAGTGGGGTTTCAGGAGGGTTCCCTCTGGCACAGCTGAAACACCGTATGCGCTCCTCTCACTCAGGTGCTCCTGGGCTCATATGTCCCTTAGCTGCCTGTCACTGAAATGCAGCTGCTTCTGGTATGGAATGTGTCAGAACAGAACAGCGTGACAGGGCTGGGAGTAATGTGACTCAGTTGATGCTGCAGGTGAATTGCAAATAGCCAGAATCAGGGGGGCGGGGGATTGGGAGCTGACAGAATTGTGGGACCCTTGGGCAATATGGAGGGGGCAGCTCTGTGCTCTTGGAGAGGACAGAGTCTTGGGAGGAAGGGGCAGGCCGAGGGGCTAGCCTCCCTCTGCCAGCCCTTCAGTGCCACACCCAGCACACTGCCTGGCACTCCGACAACTCTTTAAATGTCTTGAGGCTCTGGCCGCAGCAGCAGCTGGGAACCTCAGGCCCTTCTGAACTGCATCTGCTTTGCCCTCCCTCCACCAGCAGGCCTGGCCAGAATATAATTTTACAAAGCAGACTTAACAGCCCCGTGTGCGGGGGCAGAATGGTGACTGCTTACGGTGTTATTAAAACGTAGCCTGGTCGGTTGTAAGATCAGCTTCTTAAGCAATTGGACATTTGCAAGGCTGTTGAGTCCATTGGGATCTCTGATTTAAGGACACTATATAAATGGGAGAGTCAGTCTTACTTTGAGGGAAATTCTAGTCCATCTGCTGGACATTCCGGTGTAAAACATTTTAAAAAATAGATACATGTATTGAAAGGAGGACATTTTATGGGAGAGAGGAAGCACTGGGCTGACTTTCCCGAGTGGTGGGAAGTGTAATGGAGGAATAAGTGACTGCTTTGCTGAAACATCATGTGGAATTTCTCTGCAGTGTTGACGGGGAAGGTAAATTCCTACCTAACCAGCAAGGTGGATTATTTGTTTTATTATTTGCAACATTCAGAAGCAATGAACTCTAAGGAACATGCGACTGCCACGGAAACAACGCGCACTGATAGGAAAGATCATCATTGCTAGGGAAAGCAATCAGCACCTGGGAAATAGAAAACAGAATGGACTCTGTGAGCAAGTGTTATTATTTTATCACTTATCTGATTTCCATTTTAAATGCACCTTCATCTTTTGCATTTCCTTGAAACTTAGAGGCTACGTCTACACTGGCAGCTTCTTGCACAAGAATTGTTTTGCGCAAGAGTTCTTGTGCAAAAAGTCTTCAAGAGCACGTCTACACTGGCATGTGCTTTTGCACAAGAGTGTCCATGGCAGTGTGGACTCTTTCTTGCACAAGAAAGCTCTGATGGCCACTTTAACCATAGGGGTTTCTTGAGAAAGAAATTCATGTTGCCTGTCTACAAGAGCTCTTGTGCAAGAGGGCTTATTCCTCGTGGGGAGAGGAGTAACTCTTCTGGAAGAAGCCCTGTTTTCCGACACTGTACTGTAAATTTACTTGTGCAAGAATGCACGTACAGTGTAGACTCCCAGCAAGTTCTTGCACAAGAAGCACTGTTCTTGCACAAGAAGCCACCAGTGTAGACGTAACCACTAGTTAGTGCTGGTGAAAGAAGCAAGTCTGACAGTGCTCAAAGAAGCACAGTCTTCCTATCCATGTATTCTCCTCCTCCAGGACCAGTACTTCTAGGAGTGAGAGAACAGCTCAGTTTCTATTTCTACACAGTCAGGCTTCTTGACTGACACTGCCAGCCAGGGCTCCGAGCCACCAAAGTACCCTGTGCAGTAGTGTCCAGATCCATAAAAGAACTTAAGCACTTGGCTCCAAAATGTAGGTGGTACAGAAATCCTTACAACAGCCACTTAATCCCTCGCCACCTACATTTTCACTGTAAAAGTCCCTTAGCTACCCAAGTTTCTGCTGCTACTGCTGGCCATGCATACGACACCTGAGACCAGCTCATGCATTAACCCCAGTGGGCTCCTCAAACCTGGTGGAGATAGATGTTCTGCCTGTCTCACCTGCAGAGCATGAGCTGTTAGACAGTCTCAAAGCATATCCAGCTCCACACCCCGTCAGGAGAGCAGGTGCTTTTCCTTTAGCCCCACGGATTACAGAACTGACCCCAGGTGGTGGTTCAATTCCCCACACTGCTTGACAAGAAGAGGGGATTTGAACAGAGGTTTTCTACCTCTCCCTGTCTCTACTGGCCTAGAGAGTGATATTTAATTAAAGATACAACATCCCAGCTGTAAGGGGAGATTGAGGGAGGCCCACATCAGACTGCCTGAAAGGTCAGGGGTAGAATCTACTGAAGGAGCCAAGTGTTTTTAATGCAGGGATTACTTGATGGGCTTGTGCGAATATTATAACAGCAATTTTTAAGATCATAACTATTGTCACCTGTCTGATTAGATGGTTTAAGACAGGGATTATTTTTAAAAATACATTTTTTTTAAAAAGCCCCTCTGAATAGCTAACACATGGTAATAACATGTAGTGCCTAGCCTGTCTTTGAGCTAATGACCTAGAAGTAAAAGTTTCTACTCTTTATTGTGAGACCCTGGACCTAACCACAAATCTCTAACCTAATGATTTTTACTCCCTATGTCCTCAAAGAGAAGGCTCCCTTCTGCTGAGGTAAACCTTGCCAGGCAATGGAGGGTTTAGTGCAAGGGGTAGAGAGCAGAGACTCAGCTGCCAATCCTGGAGAGTGAGGGCCATTTAGCTGAACTTTCTCAAGGAGCAGGAAAGAGTCTGGGGAAGGCTAGAAGTTCAAGCAAGGAAGCACAGGTGAACAAGTTGATCATGTCCTGAACTCTGCCTGAAAGGGGATTTCAGCTGCATGGCAAAGCTATTTAATATTCCCCTGAGTAAGAGGCATTTTTATCTTTATTCCCTGCAGTGAGGTTGTTTGACATTCACAGGCAAAGGTCTGGTGTCCGGTAGAGTGCCTGAAAGAAATGGACAATTTCACTCTCCCACATGGCTGTAGTGGGGTGGGAGCAGGTGGCTAAGGCAATGCTACGGACAAGCCCCTAGAGATGAGAAGACATGCTTGGTTTTTTAAGCCAGCAGAAGGGTTCAAGCATGAAATAAGCCATAATGATGCCTACTTAGTTCCCTGGTGGGTTTTGAGCTGTGAAGCCAACTGAACTGTGCCATCTCTGGACAAACTGAACACAAAGCCTGTTTATCCCTTAGCATTTCAGGCACATCCGAAATAATTGGTTGTCTCAAGGGAAGCAACCAAAGGAAGTGGCTGTTTCTGGTGAATACCCCTGCCGTTCAGATAAGTGGTAGGCTTGCTAAGAGGGGGGTGGAGTTAGATGCTGAAGATAAGACACAGCTCTAAAATGCCAACATCCTGTGGAGAGTTCTAGCAGGGAGCACTTTAATCTCTGGGAAGCCAACTGGCACAGACCTGCCATTTGACTAGCTGGCAACTTGCAGACGAAGAAAATCTGCATGGAGACTGTCCTGGGTGCCCTCTGGCTTTATTATTTATAGCAGAATCAATAAGGGGAGCTCCACTAGCCTGGAACTCACTCACAGCAAAGTCCCAGCCTTTCAGCATTGCTGGATGGGGAGGTTACCTGAAAGGAGCTGTCCCTGCCTGTGACCAAAATCAAGTCAATACACTGGAAGAAGATCAGCCTGGAAAAGCGAGATTAAGCACAAAAAGATGCACTTTCAATAGCAGCTTTTCTGTGCAGCAGTCAGCACCCTCATGTCTCCAGTATTAATTGCTGCATTACCACTGCCCTGCAAGGCAGTCAGCAAAGCGTGGGAAAGCAAACTCCTTCTCCCTCTTGCTCTCTGGTGAGGCTTGCTGTGTGCCTGTCCTTATCAAGTTCTATCAGGCCACATGCATTCTCAGGATATCATCTAAAGTGTGTACACACGCCAGGGCGAAGCTGAAGGGGAGAACCTCTACGTTTCACAAAGACAATACCTTGCTTCCTCCTGTGATCATCCCTGGAAGCTTTATAGAAGCAAATCAACAGCTCAGAGGCTGTGGTTCTGTGTCTGAGCCCACCGCCAGAGTTTTGTGCATTGCACAAAGTACCACTGAAGTAATAACGGATTTTTTTTGAGCTCCTGGACTTTGCAAGAGAGCAAATCCTTCCTCTACATTTGAACCATGAGTGGCTGTTCAAAGAGATGTAAGCATGGGCTTGTGAAATTTGCCCAGACCGTCTTCAGGATCATCACCGGCACGCTCAACAAAGGTAAGGGAAGCAATTTCCATTCACTTAGTTCTGCTTTGCTGTTTGCTGTGAAGCGTGGCTTCTTTTGCATCTTAGGAGATTTGTTGTTGAGATTAGCACAGTCTCTTTGGAGATGCTCTGCTTCATCTCTGCCCGGCAATTGCTTTTAAGGAAGTTGCTGTGAGCAGTGAACAATGTAATGATGTGGTGTAGCCTTATGAAATATAATTTGTAGTATGCTTCTGTATTGGTACTGCATTCTAGTGTGCTGTCAGTGTATTTTCTTTTCTAAAGAAAAACAGTTTTGTGCAGTTTCGGGAAGTTAACAGTAGACAGTGTTTGTAAATAGCAGGTGTCATGGCTAGTGATGGATCAGCCTCTCACGTATCTAACAGTTTTCTGCTTGGATGTTTAGAATACGCTTGTCCCATATGGATTGAAATATGTTCTGTGCTTAAAATCTAGGTCACTGCTTATCTCCTGTTTCTTTAGCATCTTTCACTTAAACTTCTTTACTTGTCTCCCTTACACACCTTGCCATATGTAATTGCCATATGCTGATAAAACTTTGCTGGTTTTGTATTGCCAAATTCATTTTGGCTGTAACTCAAATGACTTTTGAGGTGTTGCATTGGTCAGACTTAGCCTCTTTCCCCTACAAGGTATTTCTCCTGCTACCCCCCTTCATTTATTTAAATTAATCACACTCATGGGTTATTCATATTTTTTAACTATTCATATAGATTGTCTACTCCTGCTTCACTTGATATGTATATCTTCAGGAGTTTGGACATGGACCTTAGCACAGTTAATTACTTCTTTAAAGCTTCTCCTCCCCCTCCCCCCCACGGGGACAGTGAGTTTGGACCCATTATTAATTCAGGTAAATTTGTACTTTGGTGATTTTAGTATTAAAAAATATTCACAATTGTCTCCTTTTCTGTATAAATGTCTGAAGCTCTTTTTTGATCTCTTACATAGACATTGAACAAGGGCATTCTAAAAGAAGCACTCATTTAGTTTTCTGATAATTTTAGAAACCTCAGAAGTGTCATATAGGTTTTGTTTAGAAAAATGTGCTCCTGCATGAATATTTGTTTCAGTTGTTTCTTAGAAGAAAAGTTCACACTATTAGATTTTTTTTTCTTTAAAATAACATGTGCCAAGTACCAGGAACTGAACTATTAGCATAGCTTTGTTTAGTAGTGGCTGGGGAAATTTATTTATTCTGCTCCTTTATGCCTATTGCAAACAGATACAAAAATCTAATAACTTTTATCAAATTAAATTACTGGCTTCAGAAAGCAATCTGCACAAAACAACGCTCTGTTTCAACACCATAGCATGCAGTGTATTGCTGTTTAGAATCATCTTCTACTCAGCTGAAGTTTGTTTCTCTCCTTTTAAAAAAAAATTGTTCTCCTACCATTTACCTACTTTCCTGGGTCTTCATATTGTTGAGCATCAATTTTCAGTGACAGAGACAAGAAATTGAAAAAAGTCTGTCATAAATAGCTGTCAGATGTCAGAGGGAACTCTTGCTTTCAAGGTTTCTTTATAGAAAAGATTTTTGAAAACTGGGGGGAAGAAGAGATGCGGTCAGATAAGTCACATGTTAAGCTACCTGGGGCTGAGAGAGAAGTGATGGTGAGCTTTTAACATCCAATGAACTAAAACAGTTGGGTTTCTGGTGTTCTTTCTAATCTGCATTTGTGTTGGGGAGGAGGTTACTGTATGGGTCTTAATGTCTTGTAGCACAAGCCATTGTCTGTTGTAGTCCCCAAACTGTGTGTCATTCCCTTGAGCTGTCTTTCTTCAGGACGGCAGGAGTGAAAGGAGATAAAAAGAAATACTTTGCGCAGATAGTATATTTTCTAACAACTGATTTGATGCAACTTATCTAATAGGAACATCTCCAACAGTCCCTGTGCTTTTACTGCCTGCCCAGATTTGGAAAATGAGTAAATCAATATTAGTGAAGTTTAAACAAAACGATCAGACCTCTAAACAAAAAGGACAAATGACAGTAGAAAATGTAGGATTTTGTGTGTGTGTGTAAAAATCAGCAGTGCTACAAACACTCTGCTTTTCTTTTTTAAGTGTAAAATGATGTAACGCATGTTCTGTTTTATCCACTTCTTTCCTGTGGCAATGTCTCATTTCAAAGCTTCTCAAACTAGATAGTAGTGGTCTCTGAGGATTCAAAGAATTTTAAAACTTTAATCATGTATTTTCTCTAATGCTGCTGCATGAGTTTCTGATTGGAAGACACAGGCCTGGAAAGGAATAAAATGGTGCGATCAAGTTACTTCACGTGGGTATTAAAGAGCTGGTGTAATTACTGCTCTACATTTCCATATCATAAGCTAGACTACTCCAGCTAAAAAGAAAATGATTTTGAAGCTGGCTCTTAAGGTTTGATTAAGTCAGTGTCAAAAATTAAAGTTTGGAAAAAATTAAAGTTTGGAAGAAAAACTCTGTATTCCCACCAACTAAACCGGGTCATGTAAATGGCACCTAAAATACCCACATGCTGTTTCCTCAGTTTTTTCCTGCATTCTCTCCTGTTCAAGGAAAGTGTCCTGTGTTCTTGTACATCTCTTCCCCACTTACCTTCATGTTGTTTCAGTGTTGTATTTATTCTCAGGAGCTTGTACAAGGAAGCACTCAATGGCAATGTGGAATCATTCGCTCCCTAACCACACAGCTGCTCTTCAGGCAGGAGCATTCTGCGTGCAATTGAAAGGGCAGGGGAATCTTTTTTAGGTCAGGGGCCACTGACCCACAGAAAAATGTTGTCGGGCCACACACAAGTGAGAAGGAAAAAACCCCCAAACAAACCCTTCCTGAGAAGCAGAAAGACACTCCCCAGATTCCCCTCACACACTCAAGGCTGGGGGGTCCAGGCTAGTAGATTTTGTGGGCTCTAGCACGACAGCAGAGGGTGGGGCTGGAGCACAAGTTTGGGTTCCCCGATACTGAGGGGGGGGAACCCTGAGCCTCGGGGGCCAGATCCAGCCAAGCCCAGGGCCTCATCTGGCCCCTGGGCCGTAGGTTCCCCACCCCTGCCCTACAGCAGTATAAGCTGCATCAGTGGGATTCAGCCCCTAGCTATCTGTCCCTTCTGTTGTGGATTTGGGGAGTAAGATGCTTTTCCCGACAGTCCGTGTTCAGAAATGTTGTCTCAACAGCCGCGATATACGCTTTTAACCCTTCCCCTGCCCAAAGGACCTGATGGGATTGCCCCACACCGGTGGATTTCACATTCACAGTAAAGGAACCGGCATGTTTATTGCTGCTACGTTTGGGTCTGCCCTGGTTTTAGCCCGTGACTGTTTGAAGCTCAGAACTGTCTCTGGTCAGTTGGCGCTGGTAGCTCTGATGAGCAGAGGTCGTGGGGCCCCTGTCTGTCACCATAGTAGAGACTTCTTGTAGGGAGGGTGCTGCTGACACTAACCTGCCCAGCAGATGGCTCTGTTGGGAGAGGCCTCTTGCACCTCAGCAGAGAGCTTTGGGTGTGGGGGGACCCCGGCATAAAGTAAGGGATCTGTGGGGGTGGGAAAGCATATCCCCTGCCCCCTTTATCGCCTGAAGCAGAGGGACAGCTCCCCTTTCTCTCCCTGGCGTGATACCGTGGCAACCGGCATGGAGGAGGTCTCATGAGGGAAGAGGCAGCAGGAAGCCAGTCTGCTTGCATGCGGCTTGAGCGCCAGATCTACCTGCAGCACTTTGTCTTAACAAAGAGCCACCCTGACTGTAGACCCACGGAGCCCTTGCATGGTCTCACCCGGCACGTGGTTCCTGAAATGGGGCAGGATCCTTTTCCTGCATCTATTTGCTCCCATCGCTGCTGGCAGGGCCATCCCAAGCCGTTTGGGTGCCCTGCACAGTCATACCGCCTGGGAGGAGGGAGGGCTGTGAGGGAGGAGTTGTGGGGGGCAGGGAGGCAGCGGGAACTGGGCAACCAGTGTCCTACTCCATGTGTGGTCCTCAAGCTGTCCAGGAAGACATCACTGACTTCGTACGGCCCAGTCCCAGATGCGGGCTGCTGAGTGGCCAGAAATGGAGCTGACCACGCTTCGGAGCCTTGGGATTTGGATTAGAGTATTCGAATCTTCTCGCCCAAGGTGTGAGATCATGGGTGGGAAGATAGGTCTGAGGGAGGCTAGCCCTTGGGCCCGCCCCTTCTGCTGAGGCTCTGCCTCTCCGTGGGAGGAAGCCAAGACGCCTCCCCACCCCTGCCCCCTCAGCATGGTGGGGCACATGGCCTTAGCCTCCCCGGCCCTGGAGTACAGGGTAGGGGTGGAGGGAGGGCACTTGGGCAGCAATACTCTTCCCCCACTACGCCTACAGCAGGTGTTTTGGGGACGGAGTGTGGGCCGAGCCAGGTTGGTGGTTTAGGAAGGCAGCACCTTCCCCCACCTAGCATACCCATGTGTGCCCTGCCCTGATTGTTGTAATGCCTGATGCACCCAAGATTTTCCTTTGCAAAGGCAGACTATCCACCGCATGCAAACCAGCCATTAACCCTTACTCCCTGAGCACCCCTGTTTGGACAATGCCATACAATAGCATTGCCAAAGGCTCTTGTTTTTTGCTTTCTTGCTTTTCCCATCTCCATTCTGCAGTGTAATTCATCTGGATCTGGTAATTTGTTCACTTTTCATAGTTTTAATTGCCTAATTACCTGCTCCAGTGCAATGATAAAGTCTTCAAATATCTAGCTTTCCTTGTAGACCCTCCCTCACCAAGTGAATGCATTCTAGGAAATTTCTACCATAGTGTATGCCTGCACAGCCATTACTTTCATCATATGGTTTATTCAGTTTTTCCCCTTTTATATCTGGGTAATGTTTCTGAGAGAGTCTGAGGTGGGAGGCAGGGCACAAAATGAGGGCTGTGTCTAGACTGGCAAGTTTTTCCGGAAAATCATCTGCTTTTCCGGAAAAACTTGCCAGCTGTCTACACTGGCCGCTTGAATTTCTGGAAAAGCACTGACGATCTCATGTAAAATCATCAGT